AGAGAGAGAGAGAGAGAGAGAGAGAGAGAGAGAGAGAGAGAGAGAGAGAGTCCGCCATAGCGGATGGCAGCCAGAGCCGCCAAGGTCGGAGAGAGAGAGAGAGAGAGAGAGAGAGAGAGAGAGAGAGAGAGAGAGAGAGAGGTGTAAGGGCGATGGCGGCGGCGCTCACCGTCGTCGCAGCGGCCGGAAGTTTGCTTCAGGCCACACGTCGGATTTGCACAGGTACCGGTCGCCTGTCCGCGCGGTCGCTGCCTCCGAAAACCAGCCACGGACGACTGTTGGTCCGACGGTGGTCCGCCACGCTGCTGCCGGTACTGTTTCCACTTCCGGCCTGCCTCCGTTGGACTGGAAATGGACCGACACCCGCCTTTCCCCCTTTTTTTTTTTTTTTTTTTTGGGAAAGTTTGGCATTTGCCGAACCTACCTGACGTCTGAAGTCTGCGGGGAAAATGGGAAAACTGCCAGTTTTCCCTAATTTCCCAACAGTGACACAAGTACTAGTGGTTGAACCCGAAAACAACGTACGTACGTTGTATACGAATACAACGTACCAGGTATGTTGTCTTTGAATACACCGTACGTACGTTGTACAATGAATATTGGGGTACAACTTTTCCAGGGCAAAGATACAAAAATTTTAAAAAATTAGCAAAAGAAAAAATATGAAAAATAAGAAAAATGAAAGAGGGGGAGCATGGTATCTGGCGTGTCGGGAGGTCCCCGTTGAACACTGTCGGGGCCAGACTTTGCAAGGAGGACTGGATTTCCCACCTACGAATACAAACTTAAAACAGACAGTATTTGGCGCAACACTCGGTCCACATACAAAAGTAAGTGGAGATGTTATTTTTCCTTGTAGCCGTTTTTTTTTTTTCCTTTCTTTTTCTTCATTGTAAACGGGGATTTTCTTGAAAACTTAAAACAGACAGTATTTGGGGCAACACGCAATCCACATACAGAAGTAAGTGGAGATGTTATTTTTCCTTTGTAGCGGTTTTTTTTTTTTTCTCTTTTCCTTCGTTTAGGGTAAGTTGTATTTGAGGGTACATTCTATTCGAAAAAAACGGTGCGATTTCTCAGAGGCCATTTTTCAGAGGTAAGTTGAATACAACGTACGTAAGTTGTTTTCGGGTTAAGACGGTAGTACCTTTGCTGCGTGGGGAAACAGCAGGCCTCCGACGGTTGATTTTTTTTTCTTTTTTTTTCTTTTTTAACACCACTAGTACCTTTGCCGCGTGGGAAAACAGCAGGCCTGTGTTCGTTGAGCCGAGAGAAGGTTAGCATCTCCCTCGATAAGGACGGGGATAGTCTACGGACTATATGAACACATACGGTTTAGGCTACCCACCCTCGGGTGGATCCAACAAGAAAATAGCAGGCCTCCGACCTTTTCGGAAACGAACGACGGGCGCCTATCACATTTATCAATGGCAGCCGTTGTCGAGCCGGCCTCCGAATTTTCAGGAGTTTGGGAAAACGACCACTTTTCCCTAATTTCCCAACACAGGCCGAGGTACTACAGTCTAGGCCCAAACAAAAACTCACATATGTACTATTCAACTTTCCGTGGAAAAGTAGATTT